CCCCGTGGCCTCCGAGCTCGTCCGAATCTCCGTGCCGGCTTCTGCGCGCCCCGCAATGCTCCCGGTCTGCGTGTGGCGCCCTCCGCCGGGGCTGGAGCCCACCTCCGAGCCTGCGGGCTGCGTCGCAGTCCTGTAGGAAAGTCACCCCCTCCACGGAAAGTCAGCGCCGCGCCGCGATCCTCCCTAATCCGTCCCCCACGCTGGCGCGGCGGCCCCTGCGCTGAAATTCAGCCCCGCGTACACCCTGCCTGAGTCCCTCCGGCCCTCGCTGAAATCGCCCTAAACCGGTAGAAATGAATCCCCAGCCCTGAGGCCCTGCCCCCACCACACCTGTCCAAGCCCCTTCCAGACTCTTCCATGGAAATACTTTGAAGGGTCTAAAACATTTTTCCTCACCCCAAATCCCAGTGTTATGCGTGCAACCGCCCAAAACGCCGACCGCATTACCCCGTTTGAGCCGCAAACTGATCCGAACGTCTTGGACCTCTGCTCCTGTCCTGATACTGACCCACCTACCCACGTTTCCGCTGCAGGTTTAGGCTCAGGGTTCCCCCTTTGTTCCTGCCCCTCTGGGCGCACCTCACCCCTGTTCTCTCTACCTGTGAGGGTTCCCCTTCCCCTTTAGAGACCTGCTGCTTTGTCTTCTCTTTCCATCATTAGCACTGACACAGTGGGGCCCTATCGTTATTTCCCTCCATTCCAGCGTCTAGTCGGCCCTCACTGTTTACCCCCTTCAGTTTCCTTCAATTCATGCTTCTCCTAGGTTCTCTGCCCTCCCCTTTAAGATCCTGCTGCCTTTTTCTTCTCTTACTGCATACGTGTTACATACGTGTTAACTTCGTCTCCTAATACCCTCATGCTTGTTTCTGAACCTGAGGTTCATCAAGGAACCTTTCTCGCCCATCTCTGTTATCCTGTTGCCCATCCAGCACTCAGTAAGATCTTCCTACACTCTCAATCTTAGATTACTGACCGTAACCAGAAACTTCTCTCTGCTAGCAATTTTTTTTTTTCTTGAACCCTTCTTGCTTAGTAACTTGCCACCTGTAGTTGTAAACACCAGCAGCTAGTTTGACAGGGTGCATTTATGGCTATGGTTTATACCTAAATCAAGTTACTATATTCATTGTTCTGATAAAAAGAGACTAGACTACCTCTAAAGGACGTGAAGTCTCTTAATTTGTAAATGAACATAATAAAAGGAATTTTAACCTTTCTGAACAATGACCCTACACACACACACACACACACACACACACACACACACGCCTGCTGCAGAAGAATGCCTAAAATTGGATTGAGTCACACTGTATAGAAATAAAACTTTTTAAGTATTATCAATTCTAGGTATTCAGTGAAGTTTTAAATACTTCTCTCTGGCATGTGAAGAACAAAAGTAAGTCAACATAAGCAGCCTATCATAGAGCGCATGCTGAAGTATTTCATTTACTCGGTAAATATGTACTATTGGTATTTACCAGGTGCCAGGTGCTGTTCTTGCAACTGGTGATGCAACCGTGAACAAAACAAGACAAAATTGGATGTTGACAAAGTGAGGGCATTCAATTTCATTCTGTATTTTCAGAGTTAACACAGTGACTAAGTTTAGAAATGGATTTCAAGGGGAGAGAAAGTAACAGGTAAAGAAAAAATTGTTTGCCACTAAAATCTGAGACAGAACCTAAGAGGTAATGAGACAGAGCTGGCTCATTCAGATGGCACAGAAAAAAGACTCATCAACAGTGGCAAGTTTATAGAACATGACAGAGGAAGCTGTGCTTAGCTGAGAAGAGGAAGCCGAGAAGGAAGCAGAGAAAAACAAAGTCTGTGATAAAAACTGGAAAGGAGCCACAAAAGGCTACAAAAAACAAGGAAGGCCATTTTTGAACCAGATCCTGGAGTGAGTGAGCAGCCCGAGTGTCATTTGAGGATGCAAGAAGTATAATCACACTTTTCTGTGTGCAAGAAACCAAGTGGGTGCTTTAAACCCGGTGGAACTGGGATAGCAGGGGTGAGGCCTACAGTATGAATAGTCATACTTCTTATTTACATTTTAATATTTATTGCAGTGAAATCCAGAAAACATGCAAAGGACTAAAAAAAGAAACTTAAAATACATTCAATTCACATCTATCCTTCTCTAGAAAAGTTCCACAGGAAAAAATTTTTTTAAAAAATAGCTAGTATTAGAAGTGAGTATGATGGACTATCTTGAAGACAAGACACAAGGGTTTTCTAATATTAATTAATAAGCATTTTAATTATTTATCAAGTGTCTATTTTGAGCTAGGTAGAGGACTACAGAGACAAGTGTGAGCGAGACATGCAGTGTCTTCTCTTTTAGAACTTACTGTCTGAAAAGAGAAGTGGACAAAACAGCTATCTTCAGAAAGGGTGACGGGTGCTTTGGTGGGAATTTCAGGATGTAAGGGGCAAATTTCTTACCCTCTGTGGGAGTAAATGACCAAGTATAGGAAATCTGGAATGTCTCCCTGAGGAAACATTTAAACTTCACTCTGGCAGAAAGTAGGAAAGTCAAGAAAAGGAATAGGAGATGAGGGAAGAAACTTCCAAAGAATCGGAACAGCATGTGTGTTATAGTGAGAGTAAGACAAGTTAGAGGACCTGAAAGGCAGTGGAGTGTGGCTGGTGGCGTATAGAAACTAGAAAGGTAGCAGTAAGAAGGGAAGCTGGGAAGGAAGACAGACACCACATCCAAGAGGACTGCTTAAACTGCGATGAGGAGCATGGCCTTTATTCTGAGGGAATGGGAAGTCACTGAAACAGTTAGGCAGGAAGAGATGTGATGCCCCTTAAACTGGAAAAGGCTTAACCTAATTGCATTGTGGTGATTTAGAAGGGAGGGAGAGCGAAGGTGGAGAATCCAGTTAGGAGAAAAAAAAAACAACCAAACAAACAAACAAAAAACAGCCTTCCTAGGTAACTTTTTTTTTTAATAATTTTTTATTTTTTATTTTAACTTTATTTATTTATTATTTTAATTTGAGCAGAGAGGGAGAGATTAAGTGAAAGAGAAATAGTGTGTAAGCAAGCCACCAGGTCCAGGACTCAAACCGTGGTTGGCCATGTGGGGGTCCAGCACCCTTAACCACCACGCCACCTGCCAGCCCCCCTAGGTAACTTTGAAATGAAGAGTTGAGTTTTGTTTTCTTATCCAAGTCTGTGGGAAGCTGCGCACCAGGTTTCTCAGAGAGCAAACAATTACCATGATTGGTTCCCTTCCAAAAACCTGACCTTCGAAACCTTGCTCTGATTGGCCACTAGAATCCCTCAAATTTGCATATCCGGCACCTCATGATTGGTCCAAAAGCAACCAATCACAGCCCACCGTTTACAACCAATCACAGCCCACCGTTTACAACCCACCAGAGTGTATATAACCGCGATGCCTGGCCCACAGTAGCCAGACAATGACAACGACCAGGAAGATGGTGACTGAAGAGCCTGAAGAGTTGAAACACCGCACAGTCTCCAGATGACCCTGAAGATCCTGAAGAGCTGACACTGCATCATCTCCAGACGACCTGGGAGACCCTGAAGAGTTGTAATACTACATCGTTTCTGGACGACCCTGAAGAGCTGTGACACCACGTCGTCTCCGTGCTGCTCACAGTAGACGACGCGACCATTAAGAGCTGTGACACTGCGTCGTCTCTGTGCTGTACCGTGCTGCCCACAATAAACAGACAACACTATCGTCTCCGTGCTGTAACACTATGCCACTTGTCCCGGCTCTCACTCCTTCACTCAGGAAACCTGTTCGGCTGTCCCCCTGGGTCGGGACACAAGTCAATCTTTGTCTTTTTGTTCTTGATTTAAAGCATTTTTGCTAGGATGTGTCTAGAAGTGGTTTTTCTTTGTATTTATCTTCAACAGAGTTTGTAAAGGTTCTTGGATATGTGCCTCGAGGTCTTCCATTGGCTTGGAAAATTCTTAATCATTATTTTTTCATATAGCGCTTCTATCTCATTGTCTCCTTCCTCAACTTCAAGGACATCAATTACGTAAATAACATCTGTCTTCAATGCTTGTTTTTTTTTGTTTGTTTGTTTTCTGTTCTTTCTCTCTCCGTCTCTGGATATTTTCTTCTATCCTCTCTCCTAATGCACGATTTCTCTTTTTAGCTTCATCTCATGTGCTTTTAAATCTATTTGTTTCAATTCTTAATCTTGGTTATTATATATTTAAGTTCTGTAATTTCACCTTTGTTCTTTTTTATGGTTT